AAGCCCTTTCCTGTGGGCTGGGAGCAGCGGGAGGGATGGTGGCCGGGAAGCCCCTTCCTCTGGTCCAGGAGCAGTGGGATGGTGGCTCAGAAGCCCCTCCCTCTGGGCCGGGAGCGGTGGGAGGGATGGTGGCCCGGAAGCCCCTTCCTCTCGACCAGAAACAGTGGGACGGTGCTCAGAAGCCCCTACCTCTGGGCTGGGAGCAGCAGGACTCTGTACCATGGTGTGGTGGTCCAGTGTCCTCTGCGTCTTTGTAGTGTGGAACCAGGTGGCTGTACAGAGGAGAGGGGGGTGGGGTCCAGTGGATTGTTGCTGGGGCATGGGCTGATCCAAAAGGTGACTCTTTGGAAAGATTAATAAAATAAACCGTGGTATATGGTGCAATGAATAGTACACAGCAATGAAAAGTAACAAACCAGGGCTGCTTGCAACAACATGGATATTACAAACACAATGTTAAGCAAAATAAGCAAGTCATAATAGAATATACATGGCAGCAATTCATTTCAAGTTCAAAGACAAAACTAAACCATTTCATATAGGGATGTATTACGCCAGTGGTAAAATTTTAAAGAAAAGCAAGGCAGCAAATGCCATAAAAATGAGGCTCATGGCTCCTGCTCCTGGGAAGGAAGAGGGTGTGATTATGAAAGCCCCTGTGAGGGATTCTGGCTACACTGTAGCTCTTCATTGGGGTCATTTTATGGGATTCACTTTATAATTATTTATTATAATTATCCTTCAAACATGTTATATGCATGTTCCTCTATGTCCTCCATATTTGGTAATTCTGGACATCTTTTGTTTCTTTGTTTGTTTTTGTTTTTTGAGACAGAGTCTCACCATGTAGTTCAGGCTGGCCTCGAACTCACAGCAGTCCTCTTGCCTCAGCCTCCCAAGTGCAGGGATTACAAGGACATCTTTAAACAAACACACACACACATACACATTGTATCCAATATTTTCAGACATTCTAATGTCCTTAATATTACAGTTCTCTTTGTTCAAAAAATATTAATTTCATTTTGATTCATCTTACCCATATCAATAAGGCACAGCTTGCAGAAATCAAAAATCTTGGACTCCTGAGGTAGATCAATACTGATCCTAAAACATATACATTCAAATCATAAATGTTATTAAATACTTTTGTAAAGTAAATTTTGCCTGTAATGCAGACAGTGTAAAATGCTATTTAGCATGAATTTTCTTTTAGAAAGTAGTCCAGTACTAAGCAGAAATTAATGCAGGCAACACAAATGCATAGGCTTTGCTCAGTAAGTTGGGGGAATTCTCATGGTTTTTGTTTTGATTTTGACATAAAACAGCCTTTACTTGTCGTTGTGTGGCCACTGGGGAAATATTCAACCTTACACCTTTTATCACGTGTAGAGAGAGGTAAAGAAGGAAGCAAGCCATTACACTGTAACACATGCCTCAAAGGAAGGGGCTGGAGCGGGAAGGAAGAACACGGAAGTGTCAGCCAGCCTACCCGTCCTGGGAAAGCAGCACAGGGGACTTCAGTGGAAGTTACTCCTGCACAAAATCGGAGGACCAAGAGGGAGTTGACCTACTAATGTGAGGACTGTGGTAGACACAGTTCTTCAGGCTGGGAGAACCCATGGTGCAAAAAGGTCAGGAGAAAAGAGTAAGTGTAACTGCAAACAAGAAAACTGGAGATGAGGGGAGTGTCAGGTAAAAGGCCGAAAACCAAGACCAGACCAGGCTGCAAGCCTTTATTAGGGGCACAGATCTGCCAGGATGTCTCTGAACAAAGGCGAGACAAAAGCAATATGGCCAGGACAGGAAGTGCCTTTTATAGGAGCTGAGGTGGGGTTGAGTGAGGTAGTGGCTAAGGACTGGAGGAGCCTGTGACATCACTAGTTGCTAGGAGGAGAGCAAGTATTAGGTTACTCTTTTGGTGGGAGTAGGGGCGTGTTGGAAAGAAGGTAGCTATTATATACAGCAGCCACCCTAAATTGGAGGGAAATCTATCAGGGAGGTAAAGTGCAAAAGGCACGGGGGACAAGGAATGGAAAGTAGAAAGCAAGTCCAAAGGGTGCCCCGTCCCCAGGAGGAACAGTGAAGAGGCAGATCCACAAGGCCACTGTGTCTCTGCACAGATCCCCAGCTGTGCAACCTTCTCACCAGCCTTCCTGGCACTCAGACCTGAAAGCCTTGGACTCTTCTGTTAGTTACACCCCATACCTTAATTAGTTGTCATGTTGACCAATTTTTTTTTAAAGAAAATCCTGAATCTAACCAATTTGCATCACCTCCCTTGCTACACTTGCTTCTCACCTGAATTAGTACAATACTTTCCTAACTTCTCTCCCACTTCCACCTCAGCCCACTTTCAATCTGTTTTCATCACAGCAGCCAGAGCAGTTGTGTTACAAACCTAAATCAGCTCATGTAACTCTGCTCAAAATCTCCAGTCCTTACAATGGCTCACAAAGTCCTCGAGGATCCAGGCTCCTCCATTTGTATCTCCTCCCTCCTCTTTACCTTTGATGATGGTCCAGCCATATGAGCCTCATCCTCACCTCTGGACCTTTGCACTTGCTGTTGCCCGACCAGATCTTCTTCCCTCAGGACACAACACCAGCCCTATCAACCCACCTAACCTTTACTTACAAGTTATCTTTTCAATAGGATCTTTCTCTGCCTATCCAATCTAAAAATTGCATACTAAAGCTGGGCGTGGTGGTGTGTGCCTATGGTCCCAGCTACTTGGGTGGCTGAGGTGGGAGCATCCTTTGAGCCCACAAGTTGGATAGCAGCCTCGGCAGCATAATAAGATTCCATCTCAAAAATAAATATATACATATATACATAAATAATGAATAAAAATCGCACTCCCTCTAGACCAACACCAACCAATGGAACATTCTGCAAAGATGGGAAGACGGCCTTACTGTCCAACAGGGTAGCTACTATGACTACCGAGGACAGGAAGTGTGGCTAGTATGACTGAGGAACTGAATTTTTATTTTAACTAGTCATACAAGGCTGTTAGCTACCGAGTTATGAGTGTAGCATCCATGAGCTCATGTATCTTCTTTTGCTGATTTTTCTTTACTATTTGTTAGTAGCATACTATCTAATTTACTTATAATTTATTTCTGTATCTTGTTTATAATTTGTTTTTCCTGCTAGAAAGTAAGCTCCATGAAGGAAAAAATATATATTTTTTCTCTACTATATTCCTCACACCAAGGACAGTTCCTGGCACATGATACACCTTTGAAAAATATTTGTTAAGTGAACAAATGGAGGGTCAGGAGAAAACCTACAAGTTGTATGCAGGCACTGGTCTGGGTCTGCTCTGTTAAACTTCATCTCTTTACCTGCATGCTCATCTGTTCTTCTGGCTCTTTTTTTTTTTTTTGACTTGTCCCTGCATTCAGACCCCTGTATATCTCCCCAGTGGTGTGCTATCTTCTCCTCAACCTACTACTCTCCAGCTTCTTGATTTTAGCTCCTCAGAGACTCTTGCAGCCAGCCTTGGCTCTGCTGCGCTTTGTTTCAATAAGGCTACCCTGAGACAACACGTGACAAGAGGCCCAGGGCAGCCCTGGTGTACTGCGGGCATCTCTTCTGGGCTAAACCTCTGGTTTGAGGTCTGCTTTGCTACTGTGGTAGACAGCTGAGAGGTGCCCTGAAGTAGCAAGGCAGGCCTAAACCATCAGCTCCATATGCTGAATCATCAGACAAAGAGAGACTTCGGGAGTGCAGCCATTTCCTACCATCCCTTCCTTGGATACATGTCTGTGGTGCCAAGGATGGCTAGGTGCTTATTGCTGACCTGAGAGTTCATTCCAGTACATGTACAATGAGTGTGCCCCACGTTTTGTGAAGGAAAACCTACTCTTGAGCCAAGAGATAGTGAAGCAGACAGGAGGGAACTCTAGAAAAGTCTAGTACGACTACTACTTGTTATGATCAATAATGGGTTTCCATTGTACCCTATTGTGACAGCCTCACACAGACTAGGGAAGAAGGCGAAATTAGGAAGTTTGTTGGAAGCTTTCAGTTTTCTTTGTTTATTAACTCTGATGACTCAGATTTAATTTACAGCTTCTTGTATCAGCCAGGCACATCCTTTCTGCATAAATGAGGGAACAATGTGAGCCACTTATTATAGCACCTTGCATTTAGAGGACACTCGACAAACTATGGCTAATAATCTGATGAGTAGTTGTGTATAAACGATTCCACTGCATAATGTTTATCATAATGAGAACAGCCTTTACAAGTAAATTGAATGTTGAAATGTATTACTAAAATTGAAAGTGAAGCAAAAGGTAGTTTTATGGATGGTAAAATATTTCCATTTCATTTGCCTAAACAGATTATGTACACAAAGACAAGAAATCTAAACTCTCCTTTGGACCACCATTTATCTCCTGTTAAACATCAACATGATTACAATGCAGGATGAGTTTTTTATAGTTTCATTGAGTGTCACTTTTGTTATCGAGTGAAATAGCATGATTTCCTTTCTAAGAAAAAGGGCATCTGTGTAGCAAATGACAAGTAGCTACCATTTCCTCCTGAACAGAATGCTGATTTCGCACTGGGTGACTGCCGACAGAAAACTCAAGAGGATGAGTCACACAGGATGTCAGTTTTTTAGGGCAATTCTATTTTGAGACTGCTCTCCAGCAAGGACTGGCCATAGCCTGTTGTAGACAAGAGGCCTTGGCAGAAGTGTCCCAAGTGTTTCTGGGAAGGATCTCACTTTCTGATGAAAGTAGCAAGAGGGAGCTTGCTCAACTCTGCCCCACCCACATCCTGCCTTTGAATGTGGCTGAGATGCCTAAAGCTCAGCAGCTGTTTCCCTATCATGAACTGACCGTGTCTGAAGCCACTCCAGATGCCAAGGCTATGGGCAGAACAAGCTGGGTCTGGATGGCATCACTAAGTGGCTGAACCAACTGTTACGGATGACTCTTGACATTCTTGTTAGGAAAAAATGTTCTTAAAGTTTAAACCTTTGTCCACTGAATTTTATTTGTAGCCAGAAGCATTTCTAACGGATACATAATCTCTTTAACTATCTTGTGCAGTGATTGCCCATATACCCAGTATCTAGCTTTATTTCTAATATTTGCCATATTTGCTTCATCTTTGTGTGTACTTGTATTTTCAATGTATATAGACAATAAATTGTAAGCATCATGACACGTTACTCCTTCAGCATACATTTCCTAAAATTAAGACATTTTCCTCTATAATCACAATGCTATTATCTCTCCCCAAAATACTAATAATTCTCTGATATCATGACAGCTGGTTCATATTCAGTTTTCTTTATTATCCCCAAAATGTGTTCTTGTGGTTGGAGAGACTTGGCACTTAAATGGAACAAGAGGCACTTAAGATTTTTAAATTTTCTCTCTTTTTTTTAATAAACTTGTGTCATTTGTAGGAAAATGGATGCACCTTGAGACTATAATGTTAAGTGAAACAAAACACCACATGGGCCTTAATATAACATAGATTCTCTTATATGAGAAAACCAAAGTAGTACAGTTAGAAACAAAGGAACTGAGTCACTCCCTTCCCTCCATTCAGTCATAAACACTACTACCCTAATGATTATTCAGGCTCATACTTAAGTTAAAAAGGCCTCCTGTTCCCTCTGTTTTGCCCTTCTGCCCATTCCTGCTGCTGCCTTGGGATTTTCCATAAACTTACTACATAATATGAGGTGTATGCTTGGCAATTCTTTCCTTGTCATACATGAGAACCTGGACTATTTTGGCCCACTCCACTGTAACAAAAGTATATCGAGTGCAAAATAAAAGACAATAGGAAAAAAAGAAAAAAATGTTATTGTAATCCGGCACAAACTCTATTTAAAAGTGTACCTTGATTGAGTATAATTGTCTTGTATGTTTTTATGTTTTTTGGCCTGTTTGTGGTTATTAATGTGTGTTTATGATAATTAACTTGATAAATGAATCTAAAAGATATATAAATAAATCTTATGCTTTTTAAATATAAATAAGTCTTGGACTTTATAAATATTAATATCTTTTTAATGTACATATGCTTGGATAGAATCTTTTATATAAAATACTTGAAGGGGCCGGGGATTTAGCTCAGTGGTTCTGCCACCTGCCTCACAAGTGCAAAGACCCAAGTTCGAACCCTGATACCAAAAAATAAATAAATAAGCAAACAAACACATAAAATGCTTGATAAAAAAAAAAGATTCTCTGCTCCCTCCTCCTGTGACAGCAGAGCTTCACTTTCAGGTTCATGATGGCTTCAGGAGCCAGGAGAACCCTGGGAAGATCTGAATGAAGCTTTGGAGCTAAGGCTGTAACACATTGCCTAAGAGCCTTATTATCATACCTCTCAAGAGTGTTGTAAAAAAAATTCCCATTTGAAAACTTATTTGGGATGAGCTCCTGGTGTACAAATGCTCTTCTCCATTAGACAGCAAGGGAAAAACTGTGAGCATTTAATGTGGGGCAAGGACCTCTCTGTGATGCAGGCTTCTTTCATCGCAGTTCGCAGTTCTAACTTGATCTTCATCCTTAAATGGCCCTACAGATCCAACTCCATAATTTACAAGGAACAGTGTAAGAACATGAATAGGAGATGACATTTTTACTAATACTAATTGTGTATGTGAAACAGTCAACATTTTTTAAAAGTATAATTAAGAAAAATTAGGATGCACCTAAACTCTGGAAGAGAGAAATGGGAAAACACAGCTAATTGCCTGATGACATTTAAATTAGTAAAATCAGCTGAGAATTTTCTAGAATGTTGCTACATAAAAATGACAAATGCTTGATTGCTTATGTTTTTAACCTTCATTTGACTTAATTAAAGCCACTGTGTGCAGAGGAACTGTGTAATTTCAGAAGCTGTGAATGCAGCAGTGTTGCCCTCACAGGAGTAAATGTGCCCCCTTTCTCAAGCAGAGCTTTCTAGAGTTATGTCTAACCAGAGACTTACCTAAAGCATTCGACTCCCCTTTAATGCACCTGGTGCTTGTGGTCTTAGTCTGTTTCTTCTCATTTCTGGAATTTTCAATCTCATTCAATTCCCCCACCATTACTACTTGCTAGGCAAAAAAAGAAAAGAAAAAAAGAGAGATTTCAAATAATGAAAAATACACACAGCTACCATAATATGGCCATAAACTGGCAGAAGTCAATGTGCTTAACTGACTTGATTCTAATTGGATTCCTCTAAATCCATTTATACTGCACTTATTCCAACTGCAGAAAGTTAATTATGTAATCCATTATAAGGGCTTTACTGCACGTGAGTAAAGTCATAACAATTGTCATCGACAAATACAGACCTATTATTAATGCTCAAAACCAATTATTTTGGAGAAAACATTCAGCCAGCTATAATCAGACTCAACAGATTAATCACATACCAAAAAAGGTTAAAGACATGTTTTGACCAAATTATCCATGTTAGCATTCAACCCTGGGAACAATAATGAAAATAATTTGTCCTTCTTTAATGTTATTTATCCAATGTTAATTTCTTAACTGAGTAAATTTGCTATTCAAGTTATAAATAAAAGCATTTTCTCTAACATTATAGCCTTGAGAAGCAAGTACTTTTTTCTGCTTATAACTATTTTATTTCTAAAATAGAGTGAAAATGAAGAATTTCCAAAACTGTAACAGTTTGCTTACTGAACATAAACAGCAAGAGGGTTTAGATTGCTCACTGGACTTTCAGAGGTCAAAGAGAAAGATGAATTTCAAAGCAGCGTAACAAATGGCTTCAGAACCACACTCAGTGTTGCTACCGTGCACTCTTTGTGCAGAAAATGCTGGAGGTGCAAATGTGTCCTGTGGGTCTTGGAAAGAGAGACCAGCAGTTTCTGCCACCAGTGACAGCCTAGCACAATATGCTCTGGCAGGGGCCTTTCTGGCCAATAGGTTACTGCACTGGGAGAAGGGAAAACAGAGCACAGCCAATCCTGAGGCCTGGACAAGGGGGAGACATGTTCAAAATATCCTTGACATATAAAACCCTGGACCCTGCAGGAACATTTATTAAGATTCCTATAGAAGGGGGAGCAAATATGATCACAGTACATTACACACATCGAAACCCCCAAATGTGAAACTGGAGGAGGGTGGGGCAAGAGAGGGTAGGGGATGATTAAAGAATGTTATATGCATATACAGATCTGCCCAGATGAAACCCATTATTCTGTATATCCAAGGTGCACTAATGAAAATGTGCAGGGAGAAAGATTGGTAAAGAAAAAAGTTCTATTTGTACTTCTAAATGTGTCAGAAATCATTTTGGAGCAAACAAGACCTGACCATCTGCAGAATAAAGTGGGCAACATGTCTCAGGACCTCCTCCAGGCTGACAGACTGCTCCACAGGACCAGGCTCTCCAGGCAAGGCTGCCCAGTACCTCACTCTTTTCCCCTGCAGTTCCTCTGGGGTGATCGGCCTTGCAAGAGCAATACCAATCTAACCAAAAGGATTCCTTCTTTCCTTTTTTTTTTTTTTTTCAAGACTGGGGACTGAACCTTGGGCCTTGCACATTCTAGACAAGTACTCTATCAATGAGCTACATTAATAGCCCTTTATTTTATTTTGAGACAAGGTCTTGCTAAGGTGCACAGGATGGCGTTGAACTTTCAATCCTCCTGCCTCAGCCTCCTGAGTAGCTGGGATTACAGGTATGCACTACCACACCTAGTTTAGGATTATACTTTTCAATAGGATTTTCAGCAACCAATATTTCCATGAAATAGTTTATTTTTTTTAGAGAATGGGATTGGGGATGTCTCCAGGTCCTTGGCTGGATACCATTTAGTGGCAGCTGTGGCCCAACAAAAATTCCTTTTCTGTCCCAAGCATTCAATATTGAATAAAGGACACTTGAGGCCCTGATTCATTTCAGTAATGACCTAAGATATTTCTCCTGGACAGGCTCTGATTCCTGAGACTGCTTTAGGAACATTGAAAGTGTCTATACATCTTATTAGTAATAATGGCAAAGAGTTACTTGAGAAATTTAAGATAACAATGCTTTCAGTTTATAAATATTCAACCAAAGAAATTCAAAAAGATTTAATGAAAGCATTCAATTTGACACATTCTAGAGAAATTATTTAAATTTTGCTGCAAATGCTTCAGCCTAAAATAAATGGCTTTGTTTGCAGAAATGGGTTCCACACATTTGTCAAAATTCCTCGCCCGTTTGGAAGTGCTGTAGTCCTGGTAACCAGGGAGCTCAGCAGAGCCTAGAGGCCTGTAAGCTGGCAGGGGTGACATAAGCCCCACAATGGTGATGTCGGGGCTCACATCTGCTAAATCATTCTCCCATCTGGGGGCCCGGCAAGAGGGAGGGTACAGAGCAGGCAGTGGGAAAGGAGATCCATTTGCTGTGTTTACAAGTGGAAAAAGAAAAAGATGATACTCCCGCTTCATCTTTATTGCATACATGTCATGCCACATGGAGGAAAAAAGGAGGAAGTGGAGTTGTTCTTTCCAGAAGGGGAATATCACAAGAAGCATGGAAATATTAGTGCATCTTTGAAACTACAGGCAGCATCTCTAGGCATTATTCAGTGGGAATCAAAAAAGCCAATTTAGCACTCTAGGCAAAAATGTGATTGTATGGAGTTAAAGGAGAATTGTAAAGTAGCTTATCAAATGGCTGTCAAGTAATGCAGACTTTCCCAATTAAAGAGTGATATGCACAAACATTTGTAAATATGGACATTATATATGTGTATGTACATTTTGTGGCATATGGGTAGGTGTGTGTGTATAGTCAGGCCACACACGGCATAAGAATGTTTTAGTCATTGATGGACCATGAATACAATGGTAGTCCAGCAAGATTATATGGGAGCTGAAAAATTCTTATTACCTAGTGATATCATAGCTATCTTAATTTGTTCCACAATGACAAAGTCACCTATAGATGTATTCCTTGGACCATATCCTCATCTTTAAGCAATACATGAATATATATATATATTCATATATATATATATATATGGCTCCCAAGTTATGCTACTTTTTCCAGTTAAAGCTATATTTATAAAATAGCATTAAACTGAAATGGTGAGACTTAGAGATGTCTGAAACAGAAGGGTTTACTGAGCCATTATGGATGCCAGACAGAAAAGGACCAGGTCTTGGGACAAGTTCCACAACTACCAGCAGCAATGGTAAGGAGCAGTTCAGAGTATGTCTGAAGAACCTCAGAGCCAAGAGCATTTTCATAATGAAGACTTGCAGAAGGAAAGCATAGATTGTCTACATTGAGGCTGCACTTCCTATAGGTCAGAGGGGCAGGGTAATACAAAGCTAAGGACAGTCCACAAGAATGCCAATTCATGAGGAGAGTCTTTGTTGCTTCTAGATTGATTGGGATTAATAGTCCAGTTCATTTGTAAACCCAGGATGGTGGTACCTGGTGTTTGGCTGCCTGGAGTTATAAGTCAAGGTTTCAACATACATTCAGAAATATGGAGGTCTTTTGCTGGTTTTCCCCATAGCTGTTAACTGATTAATTCCCTTTTTATTTCCTTCTCTTCATAGTTAAATTTAGGATATCTTGGAATTTTTCTTCTATCAATTATACTCTCTCTCTCTCTCTCTCTCTCTTTTCCTCTAGTCTAACTCAAACTTTTAATGATGAATCTGAGATGCTTTAGGTGTGAACAGTAAAACAGTAAAATAAATTTCTAAAGTTTAGACAGAGGGAAAATTATTACGTAGAGTAAGATGATCAGCCTCCTGAAATATACCTGTCTTCCTATAAGATATAAAAACAATTTCAAAATTTACCACTTTGATAATTTTCAGTGGTTAAAAAAATGAGTACTTCATGCTTTTCCATATGTTTAAGGAAAACAGCTGACATTTAAAGTAAATTTTTAAGATAAAAGGGATGATTCAAGGATCCAGGCAGGCCAGACCTTACCTCTTTTAAAAGATTGTTCTTGTTGATTTTACTATAGTTGTTTTAAATAAACTAGTAACTGAGACATAGTTGTTAAGCCTGTGCATGGCAATAGATGGATTTTTACTCTCCAAAGGAGAATATTTTGCCCCTCACTACACACTGCCTGATAGAATTATGCACTTGACTTGGTAACCCAAGGGCAATTGTAGCCTTCAGTAAAAAGAGTCAAAAGAGCTCAAGGAGGAAGCAGTGGGGAAGCAGATCAGACAGAAGGATTCTCCCAAATCCTGCATTCTCTGGTTTAAACAAAATCCTGTTTTCCAACCTGTTTTCAACTCTTCCTACAGACATAGGTGGCCAGCGTTTCTCCAATAAATGCCCACTCCTGACCCCAGGCATTCAGACCTAGGTGCTTCTGCCCGCCCACCATCCCTGAGGCCATAGGCAGGATTTTTGGATACTTTCAGTGTTTTTTTTTTCATCCATAAAATGGGAAGAATAACAAGATATACTTCACAGAATGGGATGAAGATTAGATGAGAATGATAATGTGTGTGGGTGCTTTGGAGAGGGTCTGGGGTAGAGTAAGTGCTCCAAAGACCTTTCAGCTATTGCCATTTAGTAGGAGTAGTATTTACATATTCTATTATTATTTATCATCATTACTATTATGTTCAAGGTATAAAATGGTAATGTGAAGGAGAGGGCAATGGATACTTTTTAGAAGATCAGCCCCAAACACTCCTTCCTTTCCCAGTATGTCAGATTATGATCTTTAAAACGGTGGAATTAATCTAAACATTCCACTGGGATTAAGACAACAGGATAAATCCCTTGGAGCACAGTCCATAGTGATAGGAACAAAGACATGAGAGTGACGTGGAGCACAACAACAACAACAGCAACAACAAATATAGCATTACTCTTTAAAATTGATTCTTTTCTTTTTTTCTTGAAACAGTGTCTCACTGTTATCCAAGCTGGCCTCGAACTAGCTAGACATTTTTCCTACTTCAGCCTCCTGAGTGGTTGATGAAATTAATTTCTAAGCAATGAATGCATAAATCCTCCTTTAAAAATTCAAATAATTTAGATAAGGACAAACTTTTCTTTGACTACCATAATTTGTCCTAGAGCCCTGCACTGTTTCAGGGTGGAATTCATCCTTTGTTTAAATAGTCATTCATCTATTCCTTGTCTAGAAAAAAATACACACTATTCATTTTGATATGAATAAATGAACTCCCATAGTACATACTGCTTCGTAACTTTTTCATTCACTGGTGTTTAGAGACCTTTCCATGTTAGTGTATATAAGTAATTCTACCTCGTTCATTCTTTTCAATCTGTGCCTATTCCTAATAACCACAATGGATTGTTTCAACATCCATTCTTTGGCACTTTCTGTCCATTCCAGAAGTCATTGTTTTGTAGTCATTGTCACTTGCCTGAAGTACTTGTCATTATTCTTTAGCTCTAGTAACTCTAGAAGTGACACTTTTAACTGAGTTAATCATTAAACCATTCCAAACTTCAAAGTCTTTATTTATTAAATGAGAGAATTGGACTATTTATTTTTTAAAATTCTCTTACAGCCATGACGATCAGTGTTTTGGGTTTTGAGAAAGAGAAAAAGCTACCTCTTCCAAATGTCAGAAAGGGGAAAGTTGTGTGAGATGATCTCTGAGTTTCAGCTTACTAATAGGACTATGCTATTCATAAAGTTAGGACCATTTAGAAAGTCTGGCCTACCTCATTCTTCTGATAACATGCATAGCAGTCAATAGTATGTGGGCTTCATTTGATATCACAGGAGTCAAGACATTTTTGAGTAGTCCCAGATTCACAAATTCTTCTAATAGAAAGTGGTTGAAAGTAACTGTAGGGCTGGGGATTTAGCTCAGTGGTTTCGCTGCCTGCTGCGCAAGTGCAAGGACCCGAGTTCGATCCCTGGAACAACAACAACAAAAAAATTACATTTGGGAAAGTAACTGTAGTTGGATTGTTTATTAGGAATGAAATTAGGGTATCAGAGGGCAGATTTGGGGAAGTAAGTGCTGAAAGGAAGTGATATGAATGCTCTAAAATGGTGTGTTCAGTCAATTGTTCAACATTTATTGGGCCCTTACTATGTCCAGCAGTAGAAATATTAAAAATAAAACATCAAAACCCTTAATGTTTGTGCTTCTAAAGCACAGTCATTCTCAAACAGGACTATACATTTAATTATACTTTAAATTAACAGCACAATGATCAATAAGACATTGTTTATCCTCCACGCACAGGATGTTTGCATTATGGAGTAGTTCTCTTTCTCCCCAAATCATTATTTTCTGTTGGAGAATTATAATGAAGTCTGCTTGCCAGTGTGTCTTTTTAATGAACTTCCTCATTGAACCCTAGTATTAACATACAATCAGCAGAGGAGGAAACAGCAACCACTGATGGTAACCATTTTATTATTTTTATCGTATATGTTTTTGGACAATGAAATAATTATCATTACTGATACCAAAAAAGAAATGTTCTTTCATCAGCACAGAAAACTGGGACCTATTATGATATAGATGGATGAACAGTGGCGTAACTGAAGGTGGGGTGGATGGAGAAATTGCATGTGAGGGTTGCAGTGTTGGTGGGGGGGACCCAGTAACCGCCTACCATCTTTCCTTTACCCTAAGCTGCAGTGGGCTGTAAAGGCTTGGGGTGTCACAGCACGACCTGTCCACACACACACTTTAAACCACAACTACATTTATAGTTCTGTTTGAGGTACTTGCATCTAAATACTGTTCTACAAAAACATTTCCAGACATATTACTAAAATTTACAGAAATGTGAAAATTATACACAGAGTCATGGGAAAAGGCCCAATGGGTGCTGAAGATTGTTAGATCATCCTTTTGGGAACCAGACCCCTGAAATCCAAAGGCATGTGAGATGTCTCATGTCAAATACCTTCTTTACACCTTTATTCCTGCCTGTGAGCTGCTTTGGGGGTTTTTTGGTCTTAATTGCTATGTGACCTTCAAGCAGTCTTAAATTTTTTCCTCAATTAAGTCATTTTTTGTCCCCAGTAGTGAGGCAAACAAACATAGAAAGTTTTGGAAGTATCATTTTCATACTGCAAATCATACTTTAATGATTGAAATTCACTGTTTCAATGGATGTTAGCTAGTTGTCATAATTTAATTCTCTTTTCCCTTCCTTCCTTTCTTTTTTGTCTTTTGGTTTTCTGAGACAGGGTCTCATTATGTAGTTCAGGCTGGCCTTGAACTCACTATGTATCTCAGAATGGCCCTGAACTCATGATGATACTCCTGCCTCAGCCTCCCAAGTGCTGGAATTACAGGCATGTGCCACCACACCTGACCATAATTTAATTTTCTAACCTTCAGGTCCTTGAGTACACAGCTACTTTTCTAACCAATAACATGCAAAAACTGGCATGGGGCAAAAATAGCACCAAACACCAGCAAGGCGGGAAGCTGTTTTTATTATGATGATTTCCTCATGTTGTACACACACTGTGATATCCAGCTAGACAAGATCTGTAGTTAATATGTTCAAAATGAAAAGATTCCAAGTTCTTCAAGATTTGCATTCTCAAAGGCTGTCTTCTTGAATGTCTATATTTTAAAAACAATCTTCTGAAAATTCAGATCATATTTAAATGGACTTTGGAAATTCCAGCAAGAAACTGTGTCCACATCATTGGAGAATCTACTCTGTCGACATCCCTTGCTTCCCCCTAGCCAAAGAGATAAGTCATTTTTTTTTAAATTGTAAAAGTGCTTTTATAAAAGTAATTTTAAGTAATCAACATACAGCCAGCTAGACTCCCAGGGAGTTATGCCACAGAAGGAAAAAGGGACAAAGGACACAATGCCAAGACGTGGGAGAGGTAAAATGAAACATTAAGTAAGGCTGTAAAGCAAATTTCAATGGGTGGACTGCAATTCTTGTTCTGCAATTCTAAAGCCTTTAGAGACTTTAGTTATTTTTGAACTAACCTTGAATTAATTTGTTCAAAATGATCACTACAGAGCTATTTTAAGAGTACAGGGCACACCTCATTGCATGAATTCCTTTCATAAGACAATTGGGCAGCAAGGTGAAAGTACAGAGCTGTCCAGCAACTGCAAAGCCCAGGAAGAGAAGTGTACTTTGGAATCAATTTACCTAGACTCTTGACTTGTTGAAGTGTCTGCACCTTAGCTTCACCTTTTATACAATTCTTACTGGTTATTGCGTGGATTTATAAGACAAGTGACAAAGAGATTCTACTGAGCATTTCCTGGCAGAGAGCAGAAAGCTCTTGCTCCCATTCCTAACTCCTATCCTAAGCCTTTCTGCCATTTGTATTTGTATTTGTTTTCCTCTTCCCAAGATTCTTCCCTTGAGTCATCTCTGACAGGCTGAGTGTTCAGAATGTATGAACCCATCCGTTATTGGCTTTGAACATTGAGAAAATTACTGCACTTCTCTAAATCACATATATTCAACAAATATTTATTGAGTTATTAATGTGCCAAGCAGTTATGTAAGTGAACAGAATTCAGGGGCACCTAAGACAAGCATCATGTAATATGCTCACTTTTTTGTGAAAGGAGAAGCCATGAATAGTAGGATAAAGGGACATTTATTTATTTTATTTTTGTGTGTGTATGTGTAAGGGACATTTAATGTAGTGTCAAGTGGCACCAAGTGCTATAAAGAAACACAAGGCAGAGAACAGGGTAAAGAAGGGAGGTTTGTTTGGCAAGAAAAGGACCCTCCAGGTGGTAGGGCTTGACTGGTGACTACATGAGGTAGGAGAGTACCCGGGGGAGGGATGTTGATCGCAGACTCTGAGGTGGGACTGAGCTTGACTGTTTTGAGAATGGCAAGGAACTGGTGTGGCTCAAGTGAGGTCAGTGTGGGCCAGGATAGAAGGACATGAGGTCAAGGAGCTCTATGGGGCCAGGACATGTGTACCTTCTGGACCACTGTGGGACTTTAGAGTTTATGCAGTGCTAGGAAACAGTTGGAGAATTATAACAAAAGAGTGATATGGCATGATTTCCTTTTACAAAAATGACTTCGGTTGGTTTGGTGGAGAATGAACTACATGCAGTCAAACACAGAAGGAGAAAGACCAGTGCTCCTTTCTGGTCTTTCTGCTTCCATGTTATATTAAGGGCTGTGGCAAGGGATGATGGTAGTTTACTAATCTATGAGTAATGGTAGCAAAAATTGCATGGTGCAGTTGTGAGAATTAAATGAAATAACACATGTTAATGGCTTAGCAAATTGCCCAGTACAGAAAGAATAATGACTCAGTATGAGTTGTTTGCTTGCTTGTTTGTTTGTTGTGGTACAGGAGATTAAACCCAGGGAAACTCTACCACAGAGCTACATTCCCAGTCCCTTTATTTATGTTTTAAAATTTTGAGACAGGATCGCACTAAGTTGCCCAGGCAGGACTCAAACTTGAGATCTTCCTACCTCAGCCTCCCTCAGGATTGTGTGAACGTTTTTATTTTTACTCCTGTAGTTTTATTTCTGGTGATTCTTCTACCCCAACTGTAGCTCCTTTTCTAATCTTTGGCACTCCTGTTTCTCAAAAAATTCTGAATACTCTTCATTCCCTTCCAAACATTTCCTCGAGGGTCTCAGAGCAACCTTGCATATTGGAAGATTTATGTATGCAATCAAACCTGTTCGAAATGCTTCGTGTTTTTATTCCTGGTAGTTGTAAATCCTGTATCCGTGACATAAAAGAGGCAGATGGTGGAGCATACTGACACAGTACAGCCTCTAGGGGGCATCTGATAATGTAGGGATTGTTTATGGAAGTTACAATGACGGGGAGACAGTACTTAGTGCGTGAGGTCTAGGGATGCCTAGTAGGACAGCCCTCCACAACAAGTGGTTTTCTCACTCAAATTTCCCATGCTGTCCCTCTGGGAAACACTTAGGTGGCAGGAAATTCTCTGTTCAGAATTGTGCACTGCTCAATTCCAGGGAACTAGTGCAATCGGAGAGACCTGAAGAAATAGCATTGAGTTGAAGATCAGTTCCCAGCCTCAACCCTAACAAGTACAAATCCTGGGAGCTGAGGCACTTAGTTTACTGTTATGTCTTAGCTTCCTTATTCACAAAATGGGAGCATTTCTTCTTGGAAAGTTAAGGAGATTTAGTAAGATAATGTGTGTATGCATTTATTAAATTGTAAATCATCATAAGACTAAATAACCTGTCCATCTGCACATACAAGTTGCTAATGAGATAGAAAATACAGTCTCTGCCCTAGAGAATTTATAATCCAATAATCAGTAATAAAAGAGCTGCAAGCTCCTATTAGAAAAGAAAATAGGAAATGTGCTTTCAGGATTATAGGCCTGGCTTTCAGAAACCAAACATCTTATATTTAATTAAACATAGCAGATGCCAATTCTTTTTTTCCTCCAGTGAAGGATACTTTCCCAAGCATATCCATATTATACTAAAATACATTAAGGAAAAGATATTCAAAATAATACTTCACCTTTTAAAGACTAGACTATAAGTAACATGGTTTACAACACCCACCTTTTAAAAAAATGGTAAAGTAAACACCTGATGGCACCAATCTACCTCTTTCCTGTTTTGCTTTTTTAAAACATTATGATTGTCTAATTTTTGTAAAGTAATTTCATTGAGAGAAATTCTGATCAGCTAGAATAAAACTGAACTGATTCTTCATAAAATATGATTTTTGTAGTCAGATAATAGTTACTTCTATGAATTCATTTGTTATATACTCACTAATAGATAGTAACTGTTATCTACCATAGGAAAGCTTTACACAAATTTTCACAATTTATTGTAAAGGACACTCCTAGCCCAAATAAACAGCTAGATGGAAACAGTAAGTACAGGGGCAACATATACTAAAAGATAGACTTTGTACAATTCTTGCAGATATTAATTGGTATTTAACTTATATTCACTCTCCCTCTTTCTTGCTGACAAACATCAGTTTGTTCAGGTAATAGAAAGAGCTGTATGTTTTGATATAGATGGATTCTTCCACCAGCTCCAGAATCTGTTTTTCTAACCCCATGGACAATGGCTGGTCTAAAAGTAGAGATGAGATCCAGTTTTATTCAATGAGTTATAAGTAAAAATCTATTGGGTGGGCTTCCCATACAGCTTTTGATGTACTATATTAAAAAGTAAGCTCTGGTTAGGTATATCTAATTCCTAGGGCAACCATTAAAATAATAATACAAATAGGTAAACTGATAACCAAGAGATAGAATGGA